CGGGGGGGGGGGGGGGGGGGGGGGCGGGGGCTGTTAGAGCACAGAGCCCAGGGGCAGAGGCTGCCCCACAGGGCCTGGCAGGGGGGCAAGTTGAGGAGCTGGGACTTAGAGCTGAGGGCACAGGGCATTCGTGTGCTCTGAGCAGGAGAGGGGCAGGGAGACCTGCTGCCCTGTGGATTGGTGGTCAGAGGGGACGAGGTGGGAATTCAGTGCAGAGGTTTCTAAAAGGGGGGCCATTTCCTTGATGATTGGCTTCCTGCCCTAGGACAGTCGGCTTCCAGGCCCCGCTCTCTTCTCTGCCTGCCCCCAAGAAGGGGCAGGCACGGGGGTGGGAAGGGATGGAGGGGAGTGGGCCAGCCTGATCCCGTCTCCTGCCCATCAGAGGTGGCAGCGCCCTGGACCGACGAGACAGTGAAGCAGTGTCTGTACCTCTACCTGGCCCTCCTACCGCAGAACCACAAGCTGATCCACGAACTGGCAGCTGTGTACACTGAGGCCATCGCCGACATCAAGCGGACGGTGCTGAGGGTCATCGAGCAGCCGGTGAGGCCCCACCCCCAGCCCCTCCTCTGGTGTCTCCTCCTCTGCGGGAGCGAAGCTCTAAGGTTTGTCACTCTGGGCCCAGCTGCTCTGCAGCTTGTGGGTCGTGGACACGCCCATCCGTTCGTGAGAAGTCAACAGGCTGGCCCCACAGTTGTAGCCTGGAGTTGGGCAGACCTGAGTTCACATTCTGTCTCTCTCTCTTCTTTTTCTTAATATATTTTCACTGATTTCAGAGAGGAAGAGAGAGAGAGAGAGAGAGAGAGAGAGAGAGAGAGAAACATCAGTGATGAGAGAGAATCACTGATGGGCTGCCCCCTGCACGCCCCCTATTGGGGGTTGAGCCCACAACCTGGGCATGTGCCCTGACTGAGAATCGAACCACGATCTCTCGGTTCATAAGTCAACCCTCACCACTGAGCCACACAGGCTGAGCTGCCTCTCACTCTCTCACTCTGCGAACATGGCAGGGCGGGCGCAGTTCCCAAGTTTGTTGGAGGAGTTCGTGTGAACATGTCATTTACGTGCTGGCCCTCCCCCGCCTCTGGAGCCGCAGGGTCACCCCCGTGAGAAGCGGCTCAGTTGCAAACTGGCACCTGGGACCTGGAGGGTCTGTCCTGCCCATTTGCAGCGGGATTTGAAACCGCTCGTATGTCCCTGCCTCTGATTTTTTTATTACGGAACGTTTCCAACAGAAGCAAAAGGAGAGTGTGGTATCGTAATCCCACCCACCTGCCCCCCAGACCCGGCCTGTCCTTCCCTGTAAGTGGGGACGATGGGCTCCTTGTGAGCAGGGAGCAGTCTCCTCCCGGCCTGAAGATGAGGCCTGGAGTGCGGCTCCTTGAGGGCAAAGACCTGTCAGTTCCACTCGCTTCTGTGGCAGAGCAGGGCGCCGTCGCCTGAAGCCTGGCCCTCCGCTCCCTGTGCTGGGTGCTCACGGAGGCAGCAGCCAGCTGCTGATGCCTTCGGAAGCCAGAAAAGTCGTCACTGAGAAAGCGAAGGTCAGGTGAGGTAACGATGGCAGTGAGAAGAGGCGTGGCCTGCACGGAGGAGGCTGGTGCTGTGAGATTGGGTGCCCCTCCCACCTTCCCCAGGTGTCCCCGTTCTCGGAGCTCTGTCCCCAGCTCTCCCCCACCCCCCAGTTCTGTTGAGATGAAATTGTCCTATAACGTGGTGTTAGTTAAAGGTGTGCATCGTAATGATTTAATATATGTTTATATTGAGAAATGATTGCAGCAATAAGTTTAGTTAACATCCGTTAAATTTCTTTTTCTAGTGATGAGCACTTCTAAGATCTATTGTCACCAGTTCTTACCCCAGAGTCCCAGCACCCCCCTGGCCACCCTGCCCCTGACACTCGGGTTTCCCTGAGCTTTCACCCTGGGCCCCTTGTCCTCCCCACGTCGCCCAGCCCCCGGCTCAGGCCTCCCTGTCTCCTCTCTCCCTCCAGATCCGGGGAATGGGCATGAACTCGCCAGAGCTGCTGCTCCTGGTGGAAAACTGCCCCAAGGGCGCAGAGACTCTGGTCACGAGATGCCTGCACAGCCTCACAGACAAAGGTGCCCCCTGGGAGTCCCGCCTGTCATCCTTCCCTCCATTGCCCAGGCCTCCCCTCCCCCTCCCAGGACCTGGGACTAAAGCTGCTGGGTCCCCCGGTGGTTGGACCTCTTGTGGTCCCTCCCTACCCCTGGTCCTCAGTTTCTGCATCTAGGACTGTGTGGTTAAATGCATTCTGCCTGCAGTCCCGCCCTCCCCGGAGCTGGTGAAGCGCGTCCGGGATCTCTACCACAAGCGGCTGCCCGATGTCCGCTTCCTCATCCCCGTGCTCAACGGGCTGGAGAAGGTAGGGAACTGGGTGCCCCCACTGTGAGCACATTCTGGGGCTTAGACCAGTGATCAGTCTCAACTCGGCCTCAGCCTCATCTGACCTCAAGCAGGCCACTCCCCTCAGCCTGGATTTTCTCCTGTCCTGAGGCCTAAAGGACACACAGAGCAGATCTGTTCCCAGCACATAGGAACGCCCCCGCCCCCCCCCAGCATGTTTCCCCTGGATCTTGTTCCCAGGGGGCTGGGAGACCTTGGGTGAGTTCCATCTCCTGGTGTGTAAGGAGGGGGTGATGATGATAACACTCCATTTGTGGGGGAAGTCATTGAGCTGGTCCACGGGGTGAGTTTCGCAGCAGGGGCGAGAGGAAGCTGGGGCTGTCACTGAGCTGGGGAGAAAGACCAGCCCTGAGGGGCCAGAGGGAGTGAGAGGAGGAAAGGATCAGAGGCCGGAGCCCAACCCCCACCCAGGCGAGCCACAGGCCGCTGACCTGCCTCCCCGCCCTCCCCTGTAGAAAGAAGTGATCCAGGCCCTGCCGAAGCTCATCAAACTCAACCCCATCGTGGTGAAGGAGGTCTTCAACCGCCTGCTGGGCACCCAGCACGGTAGGTCAGGCCTGCCCTCCCCTCCCGGGCCTGCCCTCAGCTCCCTCCTCTGGGAGGCCCCCTCACGTGGTCAGGCAGGAAGAAGGGTCCCGGAAATGAGGTGTGGGCGGCTGTGGGGGGCGGGGGGCTGTGATGCCACCTTTAGGGAGAAAGGGCTCACCTGCTCCCTGGGGCTGCCGTCCAGACTCAGCACCGTCTAAACACCTGTCCAGCCTCCCGCGTTTTTTCCCCCCACCCCCACCCCGCCTGTGCTCTGTGCTGTGTGCTGTGTGGGTGATGGTTCCAGCCACAGCGGAAGCAGCATTGTAGAGCCTGGGGCTGACTCTGTGCTCCTGTCTTCCATTCCTGGGCCCAAGTGCTTTTCTCCCTCAGGCATTCTTTTTTTTTTAAATATATTTTATTGATTTTTTTACAGAGAGGAAGGGAGAGGGATAGAGAGTTAGAAACATCGATGAGAGAGAAACATCGATCAGCTGCCTCCTGCACACTCCCCACTGGGGATGTGCCCGCAACCAAGGTACATGCCCTTGACCGGAATCGAACCCGGGACCCTTGAGTCCACAGGCAGATGCTCTGTTCACTGAGCCAAACCGGTTAGGGCTCCCTCAGGCATTCTTGCTGCTCCTCGGCTCCTGCCTGAACCCCTGAGCTGTGGGTGAGGGGAATTTTCCTCAGGGTCAAAAACAGAGAGACTTGCCCTGGCAGGTGTGGCTCAGGGGCTGAGTGTCCTTCCTGCACCAAAGGTCACAGGTTTGATTCCCGGTCAGGGCACATGCCCGGTGCAGGCTCCATCCCCGGTGGGGGGTGTGCAGAGGCAGCCAGTCACCAATGTTTCTCTCTCTCCCGCTCCCTTCCTCACTTTCTAAAATAAATAAAAACATACTTTTTAAAAAAGAAACTAAACATTTAACTTAGAAAAATTACCCTAGTGGGTGTTGGAGGCTGTTCCACACAACCTGGTGATTTAGAACATGCACGTAGAGTGTCTGGGGCCCTCAAAACGGCGCCTGCAGAGGGCCATCCCCCAGCCGCTGCCTTGGCATCCGTGTGAGCCTCTGCAGGCACTGCCTGGCCCCGGCCTGGCCTGGCCCACAGATGCCCAGGTGTGTCCGCTGTGCTGAGGACCCCATGAGCTCATCTAGCCCTGCCCTCATGGGTGCACAGCCCAGGGTGCGGGGAGAAACCGCCAAGCCACACTTAGATGTTGCCCTAACTCGGAGAACCCAGTGGGGGCGGAGAGCGAGAGAAGGCCTTGCGTTGTGAAGGGGGGCTTCCCGGAGGAGATGGCTCTCTGGCTGCTGCCTCATTCGGCCCCCCCTTTCTGTGTTCTCAGTCTTCCCTTACTCTAGTCCTTTGTCCCCCCAGTCCCATTGAAGCAGAGGGCGCCCCATCTTCATTCACTGTTCCCCCAATGGGGGGGACTCGGAGATCTCACTTAGGCTTCCATACTGTCTCCTCCCCGCCCCCCCCCCCCCCCCCCCCCCCCCACTCTCTCCCACTGCAGGTGAAGGGAACTCGGCCTTGTCCCCGCTGAACCCTGGAGAGCTGCTGATCGCATTACACAACATCGACTCGGCAAAGTGCGACATGAAGTCCATCATCAAAGGTGAGGCACTCCCCCCACCCCCCTTAGGTGCCTGGCCTCCACGGACCCAGGAAGAGCTCAGCTCCCCCCTGCCTCCCGGGAACCCGCCAAGTCGGCCATTGTGCCACCTGCAGCTCCAACTCAGAGCTCCAACACCCACCCTTGTTTTTCCCCTCCCTCCCTCCTCCTCTTCTTCCTTCTTTTCTCCTTCTAAGAAAACAGTGCACGTACTATGTGCTGGCACAGACTTGCCCTCGAGAAAGTTGGGGAGCCCCTCCCTCCCCAGCCCTGGCCCAAGGAGCGAAGCAGAGCCTGCAGCCTAGTGTGTGGGGTGGGCAGAGGGCACCAGGGCCCAGGTTGGGCCAGGAGGAGATGCCGAGTCCCGTCCCCTCTGAGCTCCAGTTGTGACAGGAAACGGTGGGGCGGGGATGGGGGTGGGGGAGGGGGATGATGGTGACAAGGTGACGGGCTCGCCACCATCAGCAGTATCATGGTAGCTGCTGAGCCTTTTTCCTGAGTGCCCCCCTGAGCCAGGCTCTCCCGGGTGCCTTACAGGCTGCCTACCAGCCCACACCCGTTACCTGGGGAGTATGCGGACTTCCATTCTGTAGATGAGGAAATGGAGGTTCAGAGAGGTTCAGTAACTTGCTTGGGGCCACACAGCACCCACGTGGTGTAGTAAATACAACAGAATCTGAAGTCAGTGGACCTGAGTTGGAGGCCCAGTCCTGCCGGTCCCACCAGTTCCACCTCTTCCTCTCCCTCGGCTCTCAGCACCCCTCCCCCCCTCCCTCCCCGAGAAGGTTTCTGGTCCAGAAGCCAAGCTTTCCCTGCAGCGGAGGTGGACGCCCTTCCTGTCGCTTGCTCACTCGGAAGACACTGCTCTGATTCCTCCTGCCCCCTTTCAGAGGCGGTGGCGGTTCCCCTCCTGTCCCTTTACTTCCATGTCTGGCCTGAAAGCTGCCTCAGTGCTGGGTGCCTAGCCTCCCCCAGCAAGCTCTGCACCCGTTCAGGCGGGAGGAGCTCTAAACTGTAAGCCCACACCCGGCGAGGAGGCACCGGCCTCCGGTGGCCCTGCCCCACCTGTGCACCAGGCAGGCTGCGTCCTAGAGCAGAAAGGTGGGCCGGCTTCCAAGAGAAGCTAGAATCTGGGTTTCAGGAATACCACGATGAACGAAAAACAAACTTCCACCAGCCCCTCGGGGAAGGGTCTGGAAGCCGGGGTCCGGGAGTGGGCTTACTCTCTCTGGCCGCTTTGATGATCTGAGGAAAGTTACGGGCTCATTCCCGACGACGATGAGCTCACACGGCTTTGTGTGCAATTTGAGGGGATTCGCAGACCCCGCCCCCCGCTGAGCCCATTCGAGGATCTGGGTTTAGTGCCTGGTTTTCCACGTGAGAACCAAGCCCCCGGAGGTGTCAGCACG